CATCATAGTGATAATTCTATGGAAAATGTTAAAATGTGCTACATTCCTTAGTTCCTCCAATTCTATCCTTCCCAGTTAAGACACACCATGTGGCAAACCACCCCCCATTTCTCTTTGTGTAAGGAGTAAGTTCCATTTGGATAGCTTCTTTCCAAGAATTATTGCTTTATGGAACTGAATCTCAGGAGGATGCTTTTTTGACCATTGTAGCTTTAGCTTTATGGACTCTCTTCTGGCTTCTTGCTTCCCTTTCAATTTTTGATCTTCAAAAATTTAAATTTAATGTCAATTGTTATCTAATGTTTTCTTCATATTTGTTCTTTTCTTGTTCTCTCTCTTTAATAGTATTTTTTCTTTCTCATATTCTCTAACTCAGTAACTCCTTGCATTTTAGTGGCTTTAATGCCCTGCTTGGGGTGAAATGACTAAAAAATGTCTGTGATTAAACATTATCTTTCTGATATATTTGCATAAACTGCACCGCTTATTACAGTGGTTCCCAAATTTTTTTCTCTGAGTTGCATTTTTGAAATGAAAAAATTTAAAAATTGCAATCACCAAATTTTTTATGTGATACTTATTATAAAACCCAGGTTGTGTGTGTGTGTGTGTCTGTATGTTTATATATTGGATCGGATTTCCTACATTTTCAACCGATTTCAACAAAACTTCACAGGACTATGTAAAATTACCTTGTGGTGGTTCTGACAGTGCCAAAAATTGGAAAAACACAATTGTTTTTGCACGAAATCAATTTGAAAACACGATTAAGAGGCACTAGAGAATGAAAGGGGGACAACTCATATCGAGTTATACTTATTATAAAAAAACCCAGTGTTGTGTGTGTGTGTGTGTATATATATATGGGATCGGATTTCCTACATTTTTCAACTGATTTCAACAAAACTTTTTTTTTTTTTTTTGGCAGGTAGTGTTTCTTATTGTCTTGCACACTTTTTTCTTTATTTTTACATTCAGAATGCTTTAAAAATTCCATTTACAAGACAATTGTTTATAATAAAATTCTATTCAATCGATAGACTCATAACGATTGAAAACAATGTTTTTGTTTGAGTTTGGGTTTGACCAATTTGTAAAAAAAAAAAAAAAAAAAAAAACTAATTAAGACATGCGTGTCCGTCAACCTTAAACAATAATCTTTGTCAATTTTATTTTTCAGTCTTTATGATGGTTGATCTATCTCTTACTGTTACATCCCCGAGCAACGCCAGGCTCTACTGCTAGTACTTGATATAATGCAAAAATATCACAGTGATAAAATCAGTCAATAATTATTTATAACCATTTATACTGGGACTCGTGCATGCAATTACAAGTAATCCATAATAATATTTTAAATTTTGAAATCATATTTTTGGCATATGAATTTTTTAAAACTGTTTCTAAATGATAAGTTTCAAAATAAGAATTGTAAATTTTTGTCTTTCAATCATTCCACTTCACCTGTGAGGCATGCCATACTGTTTGGGAACCACTGCTTTATTCTTACTGTTCACACATCAACCGCTTCCAGTAGTCCTCTACTTTGAGTGGGCTTTGTCCTTTGTATGGGGTGAACATTAGTAAAAAAAAAAAAAAAGAAAGAAAAGAAAACAATGCAAAAGAGATGGAATAATATATCACAGGTTAGTGTTCACCATCTAAATGATTGTATGCATATGAGAGTACAGACTGTGTTGAAACCAAACAAGAATGTACAATGTTTTAATATAGATGCTAAGTACTAATAGTCAGTTAAGTGCCATACGTGATACATGCTTGGGTGATCATGTATCTTTTGATACATGATTGACGAGGCAGATTTTTTTTTCCTGCTGTAGGTAGACTGTTTGCCAACCAAGGTTAAAGTACCCAGTCTGTCTTGCTATTCAACCCATTGCTGAGGGCAGGGGTGGGAGAGATGGGTTCATACCTTTCCCAGAATAGTGCTTAAGTAAATCTAGCAAATTTGACTGAAATTCAAACTTGGCTTACTGAGTTCTCACTCTGAGCTGATATCCATTACACCACAATGCACATCCAGCACACTCCTTATTTTGAAACTTGTGCATACATTGTTCTGTATATGTGTTATGGTGTGATTTCACAGTGGAGGCTTGTATTTGTACTAAGTCGGTCCTAAAATAGGTTCGACGTACAAAACGTTAGGAACTTCATATAATAGGGATGATGCAGAGTAATCTAGTTGTGGTCGCTGATAGTTTAGTATTTGACTAACTGCCGTCTGACATTGATTGACTGACCATCTCTCTGAGCAACTCTTACTAATACTACTTATTATAGGTGGGAGAGTCTATTAACTATAGAATAGGTGTGTTTCACTATAACAATATGTGATCATTTATTATGATCATTGTTGTAGACCATCTTTCCAGATAAAGTCATCTAGTTCCCATAGTATGTGTAAATGGTTCATGTGTAGCTGATTAAACCATTATGGAAAAGACGCACTTTTCTGCAAGTAGAAAAAATCTTAGATGATAGCAATCCAAGATCATTTATTTATTCAGCTGCTTGACCTGTGTGGTTAATTTTGAATAAATTGAAGCATATGTTCAGAGTGGTGCCATTTAGCTTTCTATCAGTGTAATTAAAATCTCTTGTTTATCTGTTGTTTATCTCACTGGCTTTGACATAAATTCTGACTCACTTTTATTTCATGTTTTTACTGGCTTTAAATTAGTTTGCTACATAACATTCAAGCTGATTTATTTACTGCTAACCTGCAACCAGGTCCAACACATATCACCCTCAAACCCCCTGATGAAAAGGAAAAAAGACAAAATTGGTTTGAAAAGGCAGTGCTTTGTTTCCCTCGATCTTATCAACATTTGCTTTTTTCTACCTACATTTATATATGTTACAAATTAAACTAAGCACAACTGACTGTTAAAGGATGATAAATGTTTGCACATTTTGATGTCATTCTGGGATCTTTTTTCCCCCCCAAATCTGGGAATTTTTTTGCTCATATTAAGTCTCGAAAAAACACTATAAAAAAATTCACTATTTTCCAAGCATAATATTGAATGTGTCAAAATTATTCAACTTTTTAACAAGAAAAATCTCAAGTTGATATTAAAAATTGCTGCAAAACATAGTTGATATATTTAAGATGGAATGATCTATTATGACATGTCTTTAATTTGTATTTATTTTCAATTTTTCTAGGTAAATTGTTCACCTATATTGCACATGATCCATTATTGTACATAATTAGGTTTCAATAAAATTTATATTTTATATGAACATAATTAGGTTTCAATAAAATTTATATTTTATATGAATACTACCTTATGAAAATTGAGATGTAGTGGAGTCGGGAAGGCATATCATAAATTCAGGATGGATGCCTGTATCATAGATTTGGAGGGGACAAGAGACCCTTGGACCAGCCCTGTCTGCCACCTTAAACCTGTAGGATAGCCTGGAAGGAAGGGGAGGCAGCAAATCCTAATGATCTGCCAGTAGTCCTCTCAGATTTCTTTCTTTTCCCTACTGCTGGTCCATACAAGACAACATGGTAATTATTAGCTCTTATTATCATGTCCTGAAATTCTTTCCCTTAATACACCATGTGTACATTTCTCTTGAAATATGGTAATTGCTGTCATCATTTATTCATTTCTTTGAAATGTATTTTGTTTGTTCACGTCCTTTGTATTATGTTGTTTATTTGTTTCTAGTTTGTCTATCCTAAATAAAAGGATATCATGAGTATGTAGGGTGGACCTTATTTCTTGAAAGCAGTGAAAAATCATGTGAGAAAAATATACATGTGTATGAGCTTTAACACATAGTAGTAGGAGAGGTTTTTATTGGGTGGTAGCTTTGGCTCTTGCTGTTAATATTGAATTCTTTGTATCTATGTGGCTGTCTTTTGTTGTCAGCATTAGGCTACAGTTGGTATGGGCTTTCTGCAAGTGCCTAGCCAAAATGAGTGAGACAGGTAAATGTGGTAGTTTGAATGAGCCTTCTGCCATGGAGTAGAATTGATATAATGTTGGAGTGGCTCTGAAACAAACTTTTGGTTGAAGATGTGTGGCTTTTCTGATTGGTTCAAAAACATTTTTATACCGTTTTAATTTTTCTTTTTCATCTTGCAGAGCCAACCTAACATTGAACCAGTTTGTGTCATTTGAATGGTGGCTATTGAGGTAAACATTTACATTTTCTTTGAACAGGTGTGTAAGATGGAAGGTGATTTTTGGAGGAATCGTTTTACGTTAGGTAAAAAAATCGAGCCTTTAACCCTTTGAAACCAAGCAGCTGGTATGTGAAAGTGCATATAGCTGGGTGGCTGGTATACTGATCAGTCATGGATAGATGGAGAATAGATGGACAGCAGGTGCCCAGTGTGGGAGATTCATACTCATTAGAGGACGTAAGGGTTCAAAGGGTTAAATGTTGCTATATACTGTAATTCCTTTGATTACTTTTTCCAAGCAAAAACATACCAATAGTGACACCCACTGAGTATTGAACCCATGACACTTGTAAAATAACTTGCAAGATATTTGCTAAATATTCATTACAGTAGGTTGTATGCATACACACACAGCGGTAAATTTAATATTTGTAAAATATTGATGTGGTATAAAAACATTATTATAAAATCAGTAATTGATAGAAAAATACGCACAAAATTGTTATACAATCAATGGGAAAGGAATTTTCTTGTTGGGTGTTCTACTACACTGTGTCCTTGAGCTAGATTAAACTTATTGTATCTATTAACAAAAAAAATATTAAGATCTTTATTCGAGAAAAAAATTAATGTTTTACTCACTATCACTATCACTATCACTGTCACTATTAGTGAAAAAAAAAAAAGAAACGAAAAAAAAAAAAAAAAAAATATTACCCAGCAGACTTTGGTCTTGTAAACGCCATTCGCTTCTGTAGTGTAAATACTTCCGGTCACGTGACGCACATTCGCGATTTTTCATTTACAGTCGATGAATTAATGTAAGCAGAAGATGTCGCTCAATTCGTCTCACTATAACAACGGCGTATTAGTATATGCTGGTGAAAGGTAAGTTTTTAATAATAATAATAACAGCACAAATAAAATATCTATTTCATGAATTATCGTCAAATATTCAGCTGGCAAGCAGAATTTATTTTTAGTTGTTAGGTGTAATAAAAAACTATGTCAAAATGAGACACCATTTATATATGTTTCTACAAAAAAAAACCCTTTTAACCAACAACTATTTTATTGTTTAAAAACTGATGATGACTATGCTTAATTGCCTATTTTATGTCATAATTAAAACGTTTAATTCTAGATTGTTCTATGACTTTAAAGTTTAAACGTTATTAAGTCTGCGTAGTTTAAACTGATAAGGTTAGCCCACACCCTTTAACTCGTCACTGACAATATTGAAAGAGAAAAAAATCATCATATTTCGACATTAATTTTATTTAATTCATCTTGGATTTGATTGACAGTGAAACAATCTAAATATGTTTGTAACTTTTTCCCTCTTTTCGAACTTAAAACGAATTTAGTATTGTTTTGAAGGGATTTTTTTTTTAAACAGGATATTTTTTATCGTTTAAAAATGTAAACAAACCCTTATGTGTTTCATTTCGGAATAAGCTTTTTAAAATTGCATTGAATTTTAATGATTATTGTTCGAAATAAGTTTATGGAATCTTGAAAATATTTTTAGATTTTGATAAGATACATTTTTGAAACAAAGGAACAGATTTAATTTTTTGTAGGATTTATATATGTAAATGTTGAACTTAATGTGTGTACGTTATTTAAAAATGAACAGTGAAGTGAGATTTTTTTTTTTTTATAAAAATCTGTGAATCATTTAATGACATAATTCTCCTTGATATGGGATTGATAGATACAAGTGACATGAAATTTAATTGATATTAATAATTATTTATCTGTGCGGGGAAAGTTCTCGATCCGATTCACTTCTCTCCCAAAGTATGCGCCAAAACATGAAAGTTTTTTGTGCACCTTTCGTGTTACTGTTTTTGTCAAATAATCAGTATCGAATCGTTTTAAAATGTATTTGTAAAAAAAAACAAACTCCAAAATAACCAAAAAACTTTTCATTTTAATTATTTTTCCTTTATGTCTACTTTTTTACACTGTGACTAAATGAATTGATAAAAAAAAAGACTTGTCGCAACAAACGTTTTCCAAAATTGGTATTACTAACAAAAAATCCGTTCAAATTTTAGACGGAGTTTTTGTTAATTCTTAGACTCTTAAATTCTTCATCTTCCATTTAATTAGAAATAATTTATTGGTAATTTAACGAACACTTGGACACTAACACTTACTAATTTTCACTGTGTATTCTTTTCGCCGTAAAAACTATCAACAAACCTGTTTTTAAATTTTATCATTTGTGCCGTTTTTTATCTTTTAAATAAAAATGATTAATACTTTGTACGTTGTCGTGTTCAACTCTTAACCGGTAATAATTAGCGAGAATAACTAAATACAAATTTTAAAAAAATCGCTTAATATCGTTACGTAAGTTTAAGTAAAATAAAATTTAAAATTTTAAACTAAAAATGTACATGTAAAAAAAAATGTAACATCTGCTTATAAATGTTTAAAATTTTTTTAAACTTTAAATAATAAACTTTAAAATTTAAAGCTAAAAAAAAAACAGAATTTAAATGAACTAAAATATTTATCATTAAAGTGCTATTTTTTTTTCTTTTCATTTTGTGAATTCGTTTTTTTTCTCACCTAATTTGCTCCATTTAAAACAATCAATGTCGTAGTCGATTCGTGATTGAGTAAAAAAACAAAAACAACAACAAAAAAAAAAAAACACCCAACACTCATAAACACCCAAAAGGGACATTTTAGGAAGGATTTTAATTTAAAACAATTCTAAAAAAGATACCTAATTTTAAAACTAAAACGTAACGTACATTTGCTCATCATGATCGAAAGTAAATGATTTTCTTAGTTTTTTCGCAGTAGTACTCCTATGTTGTAACGTAATCGGAGGAGTTGTAATTTTATTGTTAATGTTTGTTTCATATCAGATGTCGTATTTCTGAATTTTTCTATAAAACCATAAATTAGTTATAAAAAAAGTTGGAAAGTTTTGGCTTTTGGATCATTGTACATGGAAGTTTTAAATAAATGAGAATGAGCGTTATTAATTTTTTTGTTTAGTGTTCATTTCATTCTAAAAATATTTTAGAAACATGTCAGCATTATTTTAAAAGCGTTTTACTTTCATTTTTCTAAAATAAATTTTAATCTTTTATTCTCTATTGTACAACAGCTGCATTGTATTTTTTTATATTTGATGCACCTTCCCTGAAATCGTTTTTCTTTTAAACTACTAAAAAAACCTTTCTACTTGAATTTCACAGCAAGGATGTGTAAAAACTAGAAAAAAGAAAAAAAAAATTAAATAAATATAAATAAAAACGCACTTTTTCGTACATTTCTTTAAGTAAAAATTGTAAAGATTTTTTCCATTGTTTTGTTTTTATTCCATTTATTTTTTAGCATTGTTATATAAAACACGCACTGTCAGCTGACTATTTAAAAAAATGGTTGACCTAAAAATGGTCACAATATATAATTATTCATGTCTCCGTTCATATTCTTTCTTTTCATTTTTCAATCTATTCATCATTGTTAAATACTAGATATAGAAATTGTCGCAGTGAAGAAAGATTTTTTTATTATTCACTGTGAAAGTTCTGTAATTATTCAGTTCGTTTGTTTTCTGTTGAAAGTGAAATGAAAAAATTGGTTCCTTGAGGCGTTTTCACTTTTAGTTTTAATTTCTTTAAATTAAAATTGTTTCGCCCCAAGTAATTTTATTACATGTACCGAAGGCCAACTTTTTGATTTTATAGAATTTATAAACTGATATTTGGAGATCACATTCATAATCTATTGTGAAAATAAGCGTTAAGAAGATACTGTTAGTGTTCAGTGTTACGTAAATCTGCATATTTGCTTATCTAATTGTAATATGGTTAAACACTAGTTTCCTTACTTGTCAGTTTATCTAAAATTGTTGTCATTGATTTTTGGATTGTTTAGTCATCTTATCAGCCCATCAGTAAACATGAAGACGATTCGAAAGGAAACTAGTAGAATAAAATTACGCATTACGGAACATGACGCTTTTATTGGCGCTATTTGATTTTGGGATAAAGTAGCCTCCCTTTAATTGGATGGCTGTGTCTTAATGGAATTTAAATGTTTTTGTTTAACAGTCTGAAGAATGCTAACTCCTCTATCAGCCATCTGTTGCAGGTGATGACAATAGCTTACTTTACTAAAAGCTATTATTATTTCTCGCATGACATTTCTATGAATAACTATTATTACTCAATGCTTATTTCTGGATGACGTCTGATAATCCCTGCTGATTGATATTGATTATTAAATTTTCTATTTAAATACCCCCAACACCCGATTAAGATTTCACCTGTAACATCTTCAAAATAACTGCAGTGTGCACATTTCTTTTTCTTTGGACTATGAGGCTGAAGTGAAACTTATATATGCAGGTGATATAATGGATGGTGGCTCAGAATGTGAAATTGAAGAGCTGAGTTTGAATTACTGTTGAGTTTGTTAAAATTCACTTTAAAAATACCCTTGAGAAAAGTATGAATTCATCTCATCCTAGCTATGAGTTAAATAGTAGGGCAAACTGGGTTCTTTAGCTTTGGTTTGCAACTGGTCTAGAACAACAAATTTGAATTAAAAAAATGGAGACCTTGTGGCACACACTATATACACCAGTTCTATGCTGGTTCTGCATAAATTTTCAGCACTATAGTCAACTCATGTGTGGACAGTCTGGCTGTTCAATTCTGAGCTGCTGAAACCTTATATCTTCAACACATAGAGATATTTTTGAAAGAAAAGATATATGACAAATTGGAAAAGTTTTGGAGCTGCTTTGGCTTGTTATCTACAAGCAAAAAATATCTACACTACAAATTTTATTTTGGAATGATATCTACATCATAAAACAGGTGCTCGTTGGTGTGTTATCTTTTCCTTGTAGATAACAAGCCAAAGTAGCACCATGTTATACAATGTGGATATCATTCTAAATTAAAATTTGTATGATGTAGACATTTTAGCTGATGTACATGCTGTTTATTGGTAGACATTCCAAAATGAAATTTATACAGTACATATATTTTTTACTTTTAGATAACAAACTAAAGTAGCACAAAAGTTTATTTATATATATATATATATATATATATATATATTCAGCATCTCAACTCTGAAGTTTGTTAGACAAACCCTGTGGTAAATGTTCTGTCCATTCAGCAGGTGGTTTCAGCAATTGACACACACACAGTTTAATTTTAATTTTGCAAAGTGAAATGGTTTAATAATTTGTTCTTTTGTATAATAATTTTCAAAGTAGAAGTAAAAGTTTGTAAAAAATTATTTGGCCACTTAAAATGCAAATTTTTACTTATTTTTTTTTTGTAGTGGTACTAGTAGTTATGAGTTTTCTTTTTTTTTTTTTTTAGAATTTTGATTTATTGCGATGGTGTACAAATGTCTTTTGAAGGGGGCAACTTGCCAACCGGTAATAAAAAAGGCAGGATTTACTTGACCAGTCACAGAGTAAGTATAACATAATGCTTTATAGTATACATTTTGACTCTTTGATTATGATGATTGCATTCAATGAAATATTGATTAAAGTTGCCTGTGTTGTATCTGCATTTCTTCTCTTGTAAATTGTTTAATATACTGATTTGAAAAAGAAAATCAATTTAAAAAGCTTATTTTATTCTGGGTTTTGATCATTGATCAGAAAAAAACTAACCATTGATCTATTTGAATGATAGAATAGAGTATGTGAGAAACCACCTGGATGATGAAATAGGATATGTGAGAAACCACCTGGATGATGAAATAGGATATGTGAGAAACCACCTGGATGATGAAATAGGATATGTGAGAAACCACCTGGATGTGAAATGAAATGGATGATGAAAACCTGGATGATGAAATAGGATAATGAGAAACCACCTGGATGATGAAATAGGATATGTGAGAAACCACCTGGATGATGAGGAAATGAGAAACCACCTGGATGATGAAATAGGATATGTGAGAAACCACCTGGATGATGAAATAGGATATGTGAGAAACCACCTGGATGATGAAATAGGATATGTGAGAAACCACCTGGATGATGAAATAGGATATGTGAGAAACCACCTGGATGATGAAATTTTGAGAAACCACCTGGATTGAAATAGGATACCTGGATGATGATTTTGGATGATGAAAAAAAAAACCACCTGGATATAAATAAAAAATCTTTCAAAAAGTTTTAAAAATTTTTATATTAAAATGGATTTTTGTAAAAAAAAATATATATATAAATAAAATAAAAATAAAAAGTATAAAAATAATTTTAAGTTGAGCCAATCGAACCATTCCCCATGAACTGTAAATTTTTAATAGAAAATTGATTATTTTGTTCATTATGTTAAGAAATAATAAAATTATCTCCTTTGTCTACCTTTCAAGCAAAGGAAAATGGTTATTTTATTTTATTTTTTTGTTACTCATACTTCAACTGTCGAATGAGATGTTTGTAAATTTGAGTAGACTTTCATTAATGGTATAATCAAGTAACTCTGTGAACATTGTTTGCTTGTGTGTTTGCCAGGAGTTATATAGAGAGAGTGGGTGAAAGAAAGATGTAAATTTATTATCGTGTAGGAAGAGAAGAGAGAAGGAAATGGTGTGTGTTTGTCTCAGATGATGACCTAATTTAACATCAGGATTGTGGACATAAATGGTTACACCTCTCTCTTTCTCTCTCTCTTTTCACTTCTCTCTTTCCACCTCCAAGATTGTGTGCATGCTTATATTTCAGCTTTCTTTAAACAAACAGTATTTTAAATATTTAAAAATATACTTTTTTGCCATATTTAAAAAATATTTTCAAGTGCATATAATTTTAAAATATTTCTTGGTATGTTAAAAATATATTTTTATGTTAATGTGATTTAAAAAATATTTTAAGTGAATAAGATTTAAAAATAAGAGTTGTTTATACAGTAAGTATTTTCTATTTCAACTTTCTTTAGACAATATTTTAATGTTGAAATCAACTTCAATGTTTTATAACCGGAACTGTTAGTGAACCAAAGAGTCACAGGTAGTCTAGTCTAATACTAAAAGTCTGTGATTATGTGCATGCTTGCTTGGTGTATCTGTTCAGCACATAATGATTTAAGTGAATAAGATTTAAATATACAACTTGTTTATACAGTCAGTATTTATATTTTAACTTTCTCCAAACAGTTTTTTAATTAAAATATTTTAAATTTAAAAACAGACACAAATAGATCCTGCTTAGAAGTTTCATCCTGTTGTTTGTAGAGCAATTATTTATATTATCTATGCACATAACACCACTATTTATTCCTTCCTCAATAGCAAATCTGGTATCGCTGACAAAACTAACCTAGCCGTTGGTCTTGAAAAGGACCTCCAGACTGTGTTTGACTGGGCAAGAAATGGCTGGTAAACATTAATGCCTCAAAAACAAAACTGCTCTTTTTTACTCACCACAGAGAACTCTCCCTGTCTCCCATTAGAATGTCCAATGCTCAACTCCACGAGAGCACCTCTCTGTGCCTGCTTGGTTTCACACTGTCTGCTGACCTAAGATGGAACAAATACATTGAATCAATAGCTTCATCTACCACAAGAAAAGTTGGTTCTATGTATCATGTCAGAAAGTTTTTTGCCTGATTACATCCTTCAAATCTATAAATCAACCATTTGCCCTTGCATGGAATACTGCTGCCATATATATTCTGGAGCCCCTGCTATTCATTTCAAGGTCCTCAACAAAATCCAAAGATGGATATGCAATGTGATTGGTCCTGATCTGACAATCACTTTCTCACAAATGTGTCGTCGCTTCCCTCTGTCTTTTCTACAAATACTTTCATGGTAACTGTTCTGACGAGCTACTTTTGCTGGTTCCCAAACTGCATGAATGTTACTAGGTTGGCATCTCAGTCCCACCCTTTACTGTCGAAAACAATTAAATGTAGCTGTCTCTTCTACTCCTGATAGCTTCATGTCTTCACTTCCCTCTGGAACTCCCTTCCCTTATTTCTTCCCTGATAGCTATAATCTTCAATTATTGTTAAATGTAGCATCTTCAGATTCTTGATCTAATTTCTCATCCTTTTCTTCATGTCTTATCACGCCTTCCTTGCTCTCTCTGGAACTGGCCCTTCCTCTTAATTTGTGATTTCCTGTCCATGTTCTGATATTATATAATGCTGTTCCAATTATTTCAAATGAAATTCTTGTTGTTCTCTTATCAATTGAAAAACATTCTTCAGATGCATTTTGATCTAATTTCTCATCCTTTTCTTTCATCCTTTCTTTTTCTATATCATTGCTTCTTTTCATGACAAGTTGTCTTTTTGTAAAGTCATTAAGAAGATTGCCACAAGTTTCCTTTCCTTTCCAGATATTTAAAATATATTGTCTAGTTTTATCAAGAGTTAATTTTGTTTTCTTCCCCATTGTTATGCACTAGTGGCATTTTATTTTTCCTTTGATCTTTTTTATAATTGTGTTAAATGTTAAACAAAGATGGACAATTCAAAGTTTTGTTTAAAAAAATAGTTTCTAGATTGAGGGGCATAAAGGTTTGTTATAGGTTTTATGATTTCCTGTCCATGATGAAAAAGAAGAAAACTAAATTTTTATTGTCTAAATGCTTATATTTAGAGGAAAGACCAAAGTTTTTTTTATTTTTAAAAATTTTTCCTTCTTTTAGAACATTCTAAATAGAAGACAATTTTAGCACGTTTTTTTGGTATGTTCAAAAAAGATAAATCATTTTAAAGGAAAAAAATCAAATATTATAAAATGTTTTTTTTTGTTATTTTTTCTCTTATGCAAATAAAAAAATTCTTCATGGTTTAATTTGGTCAGGGCTTTTGATGATGATTTTTAATTGGATCAGTACCTTTACTAACAACATACAAACTCAATAAAACAAAGATATTATTTTTTCCTTTTAGTTGTTTTTATGAATATGGACAATATTTTCTGAAAGCAAAAAATACGATGAAAACTGAATTTTTTCAATTATTTTTTTTCATTAATTATAATATTTTACATGATTAAAATATTATAAAATTAGTTAAAAAGCACATGGGATTTTTCATGAGAAGTTTTTTTTTGTAAAGTCATTTTGACTAATCAGAAGATAATTAAGAAATGTAATTTTCCTTTCCTATTCCAGAATATTTAAAAATTTATATTGTCTAGCTGTTTTTATCAAGATTTAATTTTGATTTTTCAATTTCTGATTGGAATGAAAATTTATAACATTTATATTTCTCAATTTTTCCATAAATGAAATATCAAAATTAATAAAAATGCAAATAACAGTATAAATATTTTATTTTCCTCTTGAAAATTTGTACCTATAAATTAATTAGATACCTTTTTTTATGAAATTTAATGTTCTTTAAATTTTAAACAAAGATGGACAATTTAAGTACAAAAAAAAAAAAAAAATGAGACCGCTGAAAGTTTTCGTTAAAAATAACGGGGTAAATAATAAATGAAACAGATTAGAACAAATTAGCCTCATGACAAAATATATCATTCATCACATGTCAAGGGCGCGAAAGTTTATAAATCTTTGTTTTATTTTCAATTTAATCTTTTTGGCAAAAAAAAAAATATTTTAAATAAACATTATAAATTTTCTTAAAATGCAAAAAACCATTGATATTTAATTTTTTAAAATGGAAAAAAATGGTCAATTTGAGATTTTTTCGAAAATTTTGGTTTCAAATCTCAAAATTAATGAATAACAAACATTTAATGATAAAATTTTGTTTTTGTCAAGTTTACTTTTTCATCATTTTATTCTGGGTGGAGGTACCTATAACTAAAAGTCAGGAGGCAAAACTTTTGATTAATTTTTATGGAATTTCAATTCTCAAAATTTGCATGAAAGGAAAATTCATTTTTTCCAAAACTTTTATTTTTTATTTGATTCTATTCTAAATTTGCTTAAAATATATTAAAATTTGAAAAAAGGAAACTTAGCATTAATATTTCATTTTTATCATTACCTTATTTTGACAATGTTTCTGATTAATTACATGCTTTTATTCTATTTTTTAAAAGACATCTGATGACAAAGTATGCAAATAAAACAATCCTAGAAAAGAGCTTTGATAGATAAAAAATAAAATCAGTAGAGCAATAAGTGAAAGAGTTTCATTCTTGGCCAGTTTTTGAGATGTAAAGTCAACTGATTTCCTTTTCACAAATGCTGGTTTATTGAATTCATTACGAGATATAACACTTGTAGAGTTGAATAATGATCTGGTAGTAATAAGTATCTCTTCTTTGTAGTATAAGTGAAAATAAGCTGTTATTTATTTCTTCTGAAACTTAACTGTTGACCTGTAACTACTTATGCAATTTGACTAGTTTCATATTTTTAACATTAACATTTATTGCTTGCATTAATTTACTAATGGTATTGCTTAAAGAAGTCAGACTGAACAATAGGGTACAACATTAGTTAATTTTGAATAAGAAGAGCTAATATTATCTATGTCTTAAAGCTTTAAATACTTATACATAACAAAATTACCAGACTGCAAATAAATAATAATAAAAGAACTGCATTTGGTTGGAATAGTATAGTAAAAACAATTTAATGAGCCTGTGTACATTGTTTACCCAAGAATGGTTTGCTTATTAGATTTTAATTATGCTAACAGTTTCTTTTCTCACACTTCTCACTGGTGGAACTCCATCTTGACTCTATGCTTTTCAGCCAACTTTAATCTTCAAAAATTTAAATGCAATATCAATTGCTATCTGCTGTCCTCCTGATTACTCTAACCTTTGTTCTTGCTCTTTAGTAATGTTTCTGTTTCTAACTCTTCCACACCTAGTAACCTTTTTTGTCTTACTGTCTTGCTTGGGGTGAAATCAATTTAAAAAATATTAATATGGTATTAAAGGGAATAGCATTGGTATATGGAGGATTTACAGCCCTCAGTTTCTTTGTTGAAATTTTCAAGATGAGCAATTCTCATTATTATATGCTTTCCATTTGGAATAGTATACTCATCTTTGTTGTTATACTCTCCATTATACTCTCCAGATTTTTAAGTATCTATTATCATACTTGTTAACCTTCTCAATTTTGAACATGATCATTTTCTCAATCCACAATACAATCAAAGTGATATTTATGAAGTGTTAACAATATTCATTCATTTACTAAGTTTATATATATATATATATTGTGTATTTAGGTAGCATATTTTTATTCAAACAGGTTTGGTTAAATAATTTAGGCATCTTAAGTTTGTTTGTTTTTGTTTTAAACCTTTTGGAGTCCACAAATCAATTTCTTGGTAGCTGTAGAAAATTAAGAAAAATACCAAAATTTTCTTTAAAAAAATTTTGATTTTCCTAAGTACTTTCAGTCTCATCACATCATGTATGCACAAACACAGACAATTTTAACCCCTTGAAGATGGTCTCAGATGAGTACTTGGGGAAAATCAATTTATTTGAAAGAAAATTTTGTTATTTTTCTTAATCAATTTTCTATGGCTACCAAGAAATTGATTCATGAACTTGAAAAGATTAAAACAAAAATAGACATAGTATGCTTAAATTATTTAGCTAAACCTGTTTGAAATATATATATGTATGTATGGTATTTGTTAGTAAAAGTAAACATGTATGTTGAATTGTTTTTAATTGGGTTTTCAAAGTTTCATATTTAATGTTTAGATTGTATAGGTCCCAGAAGTCTACAAGAGCTGTTCTCTTTTTCAATGAAACTAAAATCTTTTATTTCTTAAATCTAGATTGAATATTATTTATCTTTTTTTTAAAGAAATTATTTGTGTGAGAAAGGCCCGTGAAAATTTCAGTTTTCCTATTTGAATTTTCTGATGAATCTTAATTCTTCAGTTAATGATTGAACAAGCTCATGGTGAGTTCTATGACAATAAAATATCCATAAAACTTCCCTTATCACATTGTTAAATATTTGAGCTTAACAACTTTAGCAAAATCTTGCAGTGACAATCATAAATATGAATGCTAGTCATTATTTTAAGAAGTAAGAGGGTACAAATGAAAAGATTTGAAATTGACAACTTTTCCATTTTGCTAAAACAGCTGTCAAACACTTCTTTCCTTTTTTCTTTCTTTTCATTTTCTCACTGAGACCAAGTAGTGTTTGTCTTGTTTTTCTCTGCAATAAACAGTTTATCAGGAGACGTTAAACACTTCTATCTTTGCTTCTTTTATTCTAGCCAAGTCCTTACGAACATTTATTTAAATAAAAATTAAAAAATAATTCAGCAGATGATGTTATTTATGGTAACTGGATTTTTGGCAGTTGCCTTACTTGGTTTCTGTCTTTCAATATTCTACATCTGAAAAATAGTGTTTTTATTGCATTCACTATAGCTTCTTCTGCTTTTGGCTAGGTGTAGTATCTGTTCTTATCAGCTTAATTTGATTCTCTCTCTTTCTCTCTCTCCACTTCTATCTTCCCTTTCTGTTTCTAATTTTCTCACTGAAACCAAATAGTGTCTTTTCAACTTTTTTCCACATAATCAAAATGGAATAGTCCATTATTTATAAGGTATTGGCAGGGTGAACACATGGAGAAAGGGACAAGCACAATTATAAGATGCTTTTAAGTCAACCAAAACCTGAACTGGAATTCTCTCTCTTTTAAATATTGAAAAATTGTATTTGATCTCTTTCTGCTGTAAACCCCCCCCCCAAAAGACAAAACTTTTTATGAATTTTCTCATCTTAATTCCATGTTATAATTTCAGGTGGTCTTCATCAGTAACAACCAAAATGATAATCTGCAGTCATTTAGCATGCCTTTCTTCACAATGAAAGAAGTTGAATTAGAACAACCAATTTTTGGGGCCAACTACATCAAGGGAGTGGTATTTGCAGAACAAGGAGGTAGCTTTTATTTTATTTTTTGCATTCTTTGGTTCAGCTTCTTTTAATGATATGACTTGATGACAACCCATTAATTTGATTCAATATTTACTTACTTGCTCCAGATATGTATTTTAGTGCAGATGTAAACAGTATCTAAATCTACTGATGTAAGGTGTCATCATATTTTTTTATTTACTACAGTGACTATCCCAATTCAGAATCCACAATAGTGAATGTAGAAAGTAATATTTTAATAAAAAATTGTGATTGCAGCCTTATTGTATAACTAAGAACATAGGCTGGATAGGCTGTTTTTGTGCTTGTTTGTTTTATATACAGGGCGTCCATGAAGTTCGTGTGCACTTTTAAAAATTTATAACTTTATTTGTATTTGCGATAGAAATAATTTGTAAAAAGTATTAGAAAGAAGTAAATCTATATTTTTTAAGGTTTTATTGAGATTTTATTTAAGTTTCCACATGTCCTCCATCATTAGCAATACAAAGGCTAATACAATTTTGCAGTTCACGGAAAACATTTGCCAACTGATTTACAGTAATGCCTGAAATCCCATTAGTTTAGCTTTCAAATCTTCTAATGAACTAGGTTTGGTTGCACACACAGTTGTTTACACATGTCCCCATAAAAAAAGATCTAGTGGAGTCAAATCTGGCGAACATGGAGGCCAATAAAATGGTCCACCCCTTCCGATCCATCTGTTAGGAAATTCCTGATTTAGAAACTCTCTAACACGCAGAGCAAAGTGACAAGGAGCTCCATCTTGTTGAAACACTGTATTATCTTTCAAGTTAATTGTTCAACCTGCAGAATAAAGTAATTCTGCAGCATATTTAAATAGCTGTCACTGTTAATAACACAATATTGAAAAAAATATGGCCCTATGACTGATTTTTTTCCCAAAGCACACCACACATTAACTTTAAGAGAGTCCCTTTCATGTTCAACAGTTTCATTTGGGTTTTCAGTTCCCCAAATTTGGCACTTATGCCTGTTGACCTTGCCACTAATGTGAAATGTTGCTTCATCAGAGAACAGTAAACTACTCACAAATGCATCATCATTGCCAAATTTTTCATTGAACTGATGACAGAAAGTTAGCCATGCATAATAATCCTCTTCTAACAACTGTTGATGTAATTGAATTTTGTAAGCTTTCATGTGAAGTTTTACCCACAGAATCTTATGCACACTAAACTTTGGGAGCTCTAATGATGCACGTCTTACAGACTTTCTTGGACTTGCTGTAAAGGATTTTTCTATGGATGCAACACTTTTGTCGCTGATATATGGCCTTCCAGACTGTGGCTTATCATGGATGGAGCCTGTCTCTTTAAATTTTTTCATCCATTTAGCAATAGTCTTCCTATGAGGTGGTTCTTTATTGTATTCAATTCTAAACTTTCTTTGTACAGCAATAGTAGATTTCAGTTCAGCCAACCAAAGGACACAGTTTAATTTTTCCTCAGTTGAAGCCATGGATCAAATTGATTCTGGAAAAAAGAAAATATTTTTTACTTATCTAAAAATTATTGCAAATTTTGTGGTAAAGAATTATTCAATAACTATACTTAAAACTAGGTACATTAAACTTTATAACATTTTTTACAGATTATTTCTATCGCAAATATGAATAAAGTTTATAAATTTTTTAAAGTGCACACAAACTCTATGGACACCTTGTATATTTGTTTGTATGTTGTGCATGCACAGGTGTGTATCGATAGCCATGCATATGTATACATGTATATGAAAAATAAAGATGGATTCCAATCAAGGTTGATTCTTAATCTAGGCATCTACATGTTTAGATCTTAAGTGACTGGGGGGGGTGAACACTTAACGGACAAAAGTTTGTTGCTGGAATTGGATTAGGAAATTAATTTAAAAAAATTTTTTTTTTTTATTTTATTTTAAATTTTTACTTTTTACCTGTGGACTAACTTAAGTTTATTATTTAAGATACTGAAGTAAGTATAATGCTTACTTATTTTATTTGAACTTGCATATTTTATCTTTAAGCAAACTTTTTCGGTGCAAAATTTACAAGTGTCATTAAGAACTTTATCATATAAAGTTAATTTAAATTTTCAATATGCTATTGGTTTTTAACAATTACCATATTAAGTATAAAATGAATTTTGTATGAATAATTTTTCTTTAACATAACAGGTATTTTTTTTTTTTTTTTTTAAAACAAATATGTTAACTTTTTATGTCCTTCATAAATAAATAGACATTAAAAATCTAACATTTTTCACTGCAAAATTGATTAAAAATGACACTTATTAAAGAATTTATCACAAAGTTAATAGCAAAAATTAATACAATAAATTTCTTAATATTTTACAACTATTCTTAAAAATATACCATAAAAATGTAAAAGACATTATTGTTTTGTCAATATCGTATTTCTTTTTTTTTTTTACATTTTTTTGAGATCATTTTAAATTTATATACTGGTAATATCTATTCTTATATCATAGTGAAATAAGTATTTTCTTCATCTTCTGTGAAACAAATTGTACATGTAACAAAAATTGCACATTTTGTAAAGATAATCAAAATTATTGTTTCTCTGAAATTTGCATTTTTTGTAAAGTATTTTCACACTTTGTTGGTACACGATTTTATAAAATGTTGAAATTGCTCTCTGATTGTATTTTAAATTGTATTTTCTGTAATCAATTGGTATAAACAAATTATTATTTTTGCAAGATCTCTTAAAAATGTCTCTAATTTATGGGGAATAAAATGATTTTTATGTGCATTTAAATATTTTATGGTAGAGGAGGTTATGTTTGTTTCTTTGTACATTTGCATTAAAAGAAATAAGTCAATAATTGTAAACTCTTTCCTTATGTATAGTTGCTAACTAACTAATTACTGGACATTTCTAACAAGTACCTTGCTAAAAGTTTTCTCCATAATTGTTATTTAGTATTAATTTAGGTCTCCACATGTCCACCCCCAGTTGTGGACCCAAGTCAAATGGTTGCCTTGGCTCCAACAAGTGTTTATCTGGGTGGATATGTATGTGGGAACACCTGTGTAAGAATGTATATATGTATACTATGGAAGTTTAAGTATGTACATACAAACAGATATAGATAAAACAAGTGTATACAGACTCTCTTCAAATGTCAAGCCAGTAATTAATGTGATTTACGACAACCAACTTATCCTCAGAGATCCCCAGAACACTCTCCTAACACATAATTTACTCTTTCTTTAGTTAAACTGGTGATGCCAGTAAGAACATAAGCTAAGCTTTTTGCCAGAGAAATGTGTCTTTGATTAAAAATTTTCCACTTTGTCTCAGTATCTTCACTTTTGTTTTGCGTAATGTTATACATCTTACATACAAACATGAAGTAAAAGTGCAGTTTCTAACTATGAAATATGTTTGAAGAATTTGTTTACAGTTGGTAATCAAATACAATACTGTAAGGTGGAATAATGTTATCTCTATGGAGAGAGAGAGAGAGAAAAAAACAACTTGTAAATCAAATTTGATTTTTGGCTAAAGTTATGTATTCACTTTGTGTTATGGGACCTTACCCATAATAACATAATGGACTATTCCATACGTAATAAATACTGCACCTCAAGAGGAAGCAGAGAGTTCAGTCTGAAGTCTGGAGTGAAGTCCGTCAGAGCGAGTCAGTCAGTCGAGTCAGAGGCAGTCTGAAATAGTCGCGTTCAGACAATTACTACAAGACATTGGAATAGTGATATTGGTCGAGACTACATTGTTCTCACTACTAAACCTGATTGTTCATACTAACACTTTCTGCTTCTCTGTATATATTCCTGTTTGTAATATATCTGTGTTATTCCATATACATGTTCGAGTTCTTCTTTATTGGTTCTACCTTGGACTATCACCATGGTACAAGGAACCGGACCATAACACTTTGCAGTAATGTTCTAAGTAATGTTATGGGCACATGGCCAAGTGGTTAGAACATTCACTTTCTGACCATGAGACCTAGACTTGAATCTCACCATGGTCGATTTGTTAGGACAGGTGACTTTCTGATGTTATTAGTCTGGAGGGGGCTATCTCAGCATGCATCAGCTTTGGAAAGTGCCTGAAATCCATAGCACAGGTTGACCCAAGCCGTGTGAATGGAATTTGGTAGACAGTACCCTTAGGGGCCATCGATAGCTGTGTTAGTACAAAGTCACAAGTCATCGTGACTGAGGGTTTGAGTGTGCTGGCCTTGGTCAGATTGTTGATCACGCTAGATAAAAAACTGTAACTAAGGTCTGCTCAGTATAGTTGCGGTACAAACCAAAGGTTGGCTCTGTGGGTGTTGAACAAACACAAATGTGCCTGAGCAAGCATCTGCAGGGATTGGCTAGCCACACGAGTAGACGGTTATCCTCAAATACAAGTGGCCAGCTATAGATAGAATGTTCTAAGGAGTGGTATCACTCTACCTTTGTGCTCTTTCATTTACTAGATACACTAAAGGTTTTGTTACTAGCATTGTTGAATATATTTAGGTCAGGGATTATTTTTTGCTACTGTATTATGTAACTTAGTACTGTCCCATATTACATGAAGAGATGATAATCTCTGCTAAGTAGCTCTTTGTTCTTGAGGTAGCATGAAGAACAAATCCTACATGGTACCCCAATGCTTAAATCATGATGACAAAAGGCAAAACAATAATCTGATATTTGAAATTTTCTATTTAGCAAATAATATTTATGTTTTTTATTTTTTAAATTAATTCATAAAATCTCTTAATTTGTCTTGTGTTTGAGTGAGCATAGTCATATCTGAAAAGTTATTTTTTTCTTTTTATAAATAAATAAAATTGATTGTGTGGTTCTGATAAATTCATGTTACAATAGTGTTACATTTCAGAATATATTTGTTATTGTTATACAAGCACTGACAATAGCTAATTGAATAGGTGTCATAGTACATACTGCACATATTTTACATTTTTGTTTCAGGTAAATGGTGTGGGCATGCTAAATTCAAGATGTCTTTTAACCATGGTGGTGCTATTGAGTTTGGTCAGGCTATGTTACAAGCTGGTAAAATAGGTGAGCATTCCAGAACATTACAAGTGACTATAATTGATTTCTTTTTCAGATTTTAATATGTTCAGCCTTTCACAGTCAATCTGCTTGCTAATAAGCCAAAAGCCTGAAGAATTTTTTGAGGGAATAACTTTTTTTTTTTTTTAACCAAGAAATCTTGTCCTCTTGCTAGTTAATAACTTGTTAATTCATTGTTCAATGAAAAGTCACCACCACATCATATTTCTTTTTCCTTTTTTTGTGTGACTTGCAACCATCAACAGACCCTGTCAAATATATTTTATTTCAGAAATATGACACATTTTCAACAACTAGTGTGCTTTTTTTTTTTCTAATCCTTAACTTATTCACCACTCTTTTATGTATGCGCAGAGTTACATTTCTAAAAACAAAAGGCAACTAAAACAGATATATGTAAAAACTCGAGGGAGATTAATTCTCATTGTGTACAATGCCAAGGTTTTTCTGGTATAGAGAATTTAAAACAAGACTAATGAAAATGTTTTAACAATTTTAACAAAGTCAACATTATTTACATTTGGACTAATGTCCTCATCTTTGTTATTATCACATTTTCGCTTTGTGCTCTCCTGCCTTCTTCAAATGTCTGTCAATTCAGGTAACCGTAGGGGAATTTTGAAATGAACCCTTTATTTAATCTATGGGGAGAAATTGTTTTCTTTTCTCTGTCCAAGTATAGGGATATTTTGTTCTTATTTAGTTATTGCTAACCCTGTTTCTATTGAGTCTAAGTCAACGATAAAACTGATAATCTATGATCAACATTATTAATCTTTTCAAGTGTACTTTACATTTATAAAGCAAGGTACATTGCTGTCTTTAATATTCAATATTTATAAAGGCTGTATTTATGTGGATATTTAGTTAGCTTGGTATAAAGGCAGAGTGAAGACTGAATCATCTCGACTAGTAAATGCTCTTCAAGACTTATTTGACCACTATTGCAAATTTTTACTAAGCTTAAGTAAGTTTGGCCCAAGGTTATAATAATTTGAGACCAGGAAAGGATTTAACTCATTACACTTTGTAAATGGTCTGTAGGATATTCTGACTCCATAGTTTTTTCTTATGTAATATTTCTTTTTTTGTTTAAAATATTTATGAACTTATCTTTTATTTTTTTTTTTTTATTAAATGAGGCATTTTGATGATAATTGTGAAAAAAGTTATTAACATATCCAACATTGATCAGATGCACAAATCTTTGACTGCCCATATAATGTTGGATACAAAAATATTTTTTCAGTATTCTTTTGAATTAATTTTTAAACTCTTTCTCTGCAGTTTCTCGCTATCAAATGCCTCAGCCACCTCCATACACACCACCACAGGGACCATACTACCAACCACCACCTCCAGCCTATTCTGCACCTAGGTATGACTGGGTGCCATACCAAACATTCCCAAATGCACCTCCAGGTAAGTCTTATGTAATTTCTAAGGTGGGCTTAGTAAACCATAACAGCCACATGTGTATGAAAGGCAATAAGATAATTTGATTTTTGTAAAATTTTGCAGTTCCTTGTATAATGTTAAACATTTAGCAATGTCTACCTTTATCTTTTTCAATCCACCTACATTCTATGCAAAATCCGCTCCTCTGGTTATAGAAAAACATCTTTCAAAATATGTAATTAGGAAATTGTAAGAATTATCAGGGAAGGAATACATTTGTTTACAATAATAAATTGATAATTTTTAAATTTTCAATCAAATTCATAAATTATTTTTTTATTTTGGCAGCTTATATAAAGCAATGTTTATAATAGAATGTGTGGGTTTTGTGATGGATATTGGTACAGAAAGTGAAATTGACAAAAATTAAATTCTGGCCTAGTTCCTTGTATTTGCTTTTTATGCAAATGTCCTTGGGAAACGCATGAAGCTGACTCTTCTATCCCTAACTAGGGGCTAAATAGCTAGGGAGACAGAGCTCTCTAGCTTTGGGTGGCAATAAGTGTAAGAAGAAAAACTCTGAATTCACAACCATGGAGAAGACAATAGGAAACTACTCCACTATCTTTCCCAAGAATGCATGGAAATTCACAAATAATAAAGAAATGGAATTTATGAAGAGTCATGATTGTGTACATCCTGAAGAAATGTGGCATTTAAAAAATGGGGGAAAATGGTTATACTGAAACCCAATACACACTTACAAAAAAATTTTTTTTTTTTGTAAATCTTAAGTTTTTTGAACTGTGATGTAAACTATTGACTAATAAAATTGTATGGTCCTTATAGGATATTTAAGACTAAAGTAAGATTTTTTAATTCAGTATTTGTTTGCTTCTTCAGAGTAAAAATAGTTTTAGATACACCTTTGTAATGATGTTTAGCAGTTTTATTTATTTTGTTTCAACTTGCACTCTACAGTCTGATATTTAAGGGATGTCTTTAGATCTCATGTTAGTGTTACTTCAAGAACAGGGGAGATTGGAATCTACCTTGTTGGTTCCTATTTTAGTAAGTATTAATGACTTCAAAGTGTCAGTTAACATTCTTCATGATTACTTGTGTACTTTTAAGACATCTTTGTATAATTTTCTCTTTCATCTTGTCTCAGTAATAGCAAAGTAAAGTTTATGGCTACCATCTGTCCTTGATAAATGTTTAAATTCTGAACATGTTACAAAAGCAGGCTGCAGGAAGAAATTTTTTAGAAGTTTTTACTTCAAACAACAAATTGTTGATAAAATAATTAAATAGTTCATGTAAATATTCCTTTTCTTTTTTTTAGTGGATTAGTAACTGAAACAAAGGAAGATATTGGATAAACTTTGAGTTTTATAGCAATATTGATAAGGTAGAGATAAAATTGTCAGACAAAATGTAGACAGCAGCAATAGGTGTTGGTAAACATTGATAAGGGACATAACTCTTTATTTTATATTGTATTTTGATTTTATAGGATTTATAGCATTCATACAAATACATTTAAGAATTGTTTAAATAATTTTCAGCACTGCTTGAAATATGTTAAGTTTATTTTAGTGCACTGTAAATAAGTAATATCCATTGGTTTATTTAGGTAAGACACATCAAGGCTACAAATTTTGGTCCCACAAAGCAATTTTAAACAGATTGAATAAACAGGAGTGAATAAAACTTACAATAAATTTTTAGATTATTTTTATTGGCTCAATCTCAAAAAAAAAAAAGTTTTAGACTTCTGAAAGACATATCCCAGCTGTCATATAGTAGGAAACCAAATCAAGTAATACCAAAAACCCAACTCCAGTTGGGTGGTAGTACCTATTAACATCCCAGCTATGGACAAATAGTGTAACTCCACCAAACAAAACACTATGAAAGTATAAAAATACATTTTTATAGTAAACTTACTGACAATACATTTTATCTGTAGTTGAAGGTGTAGTCAATTGTGTTCAAGATAGATTTAGTTGAAGCTATTAAATTATGTTAAAAATATTTAGGTTTTGGCATGAAGTAACCCAGTGATGTTGATATGTTGCTAAGCAAAATCAACCAAACAACTCCAACTTATTCCTGTTTTTGAGGAGCCTTTCAGTAGGATATTCATCAACTGCATATGACACATTTAAAATAACTTCTGGCAATTGGTACATGTTGACTATTGTCTATGCCTTATCAAGATTTCCTGAAACTGTACCAGTAAGAAGTATTAAAAGCAAAGTCATTAATTTTTTTTTACTCTTTTTGAACTGGAATTTTATACCTGGAATTGAAGGGATTCCATTAAATCTTAAAGAATATGATCAAAACTTATTGTTTTGACCAGGAAAAGGAGTGAAATGAAGGAATTCACTTGCTTTTGTTTGCTGTGAGAGAAGCTGTTCAGGAATCATTGGGATTCAATCCATTTGAATTGCTCTTTGGACATAGTTAGAAGACCACTTAAATTTTTGAAGGTAAAATTTTTGTCTAGCATTGTATGGTTACAATATAATGATATACAATGATATTTTGGTCCTCACATGATTTAAATTATATTTTATCACTCTTGACTGACATAGACCAACAAGATTTTCAATATGCTGAAATCTTATATAGACAGAAGTGGCACTCAAACAAGTTGTTCATCTTGTAAATACAGTTAGTCATCATCAGATCTGTCAAAGTGGAGGCCATTCGATATGATAACTGATAAGGAATGATTGGTAAATATCTAATTATTGTACCAAAAGTCTCTCACTCTGACATTTTGAGTATGATACATGACACACTATTGTCTGTCCACCTAGGAGTGAAGAAAACTTACAGTAAAATTTCCCATTATTTGTATTGATCATATTCCCAAAAAGACGTTTCAGAATTATACTGATTGATTGCATAAGACATTTTTAAAACAACTTCTGGTAATCGGTACATGCTGACTCATGTGTGCCTCATCAAGTTTTTCTGAAGCTGTACCACTAAGAAGTATTAAAACCAAAAAGTCATTGTTAAATCTCTGACAAAATTTTTTTACCCATTTTTTTTTTTTTTTAAAGTCAGTTTAATCTGATCAATATATACACTGTATAGGCCTGGATCAGGCCTATACAATGTTTTATGAAAACATTTCCTTTAAAAATTTTTAAACTTTTTTTTCTTTAAGAGAAATATTGTGTATTAACATGGGAGGACAAAATTAAAGGTAGAAAAGAGGCATAGGCAGGCTGCTTTTTTCTTTTCAATGAATTGGACAAAACTAATCAGCTGGATTAAAAATCTGGCGAGATGAAATTATAAAATCTGTTTTTCTTCTCTTATACAGGAATTTAAAAAACAATTTTGAAGCCCCATGTTACTTGACTATTCTTGTTGTCTATCAAAGCTTTGTGCTACTTGTTACTCTACTGTGTACATTTTTTCGTTTTGATATTACAAAATATAGGACAAACTGATTTAAAAAGTTGAATCTTTTTTTCACAGTTGAATCTACTCTGTAGTAGCTATCTCTTGGAACAGATGTTCCATTTAATCAGAATCCACTGTATAATGTGCTGTTCATTTAATCCAATTTATTATTAAATTTTCATATTCAAAAGATGTTAGCATTTTTAATTTACACTTTGAATTATTGAGAATCGGTCAAATTAAAAAAAAATCTTGATTGTAAAGATAATTATTTTTACAAACTTATCTTGGATTTTCAGCATCTGAAGTCTTCATGGCTGAAGCACCCCCACCATACCCTGGAATTGATCCTAGTCTGACGCCATATCCAAATAATCCTCCTCAAGGTATGTCTTGAGCCAGTAACTTCTGACATTTCATTTTTTGAGTTATCTGAATGTTTTTTGAAGTTTAATTTTGAAATGCAGTGATTTTAAGATAAAAATAGTTATCACTTTACAGGGTTAACTCCCTTTAAATGTTTCATATTCTTTAACACTATCAGTACCAACGCTTTGTTTATTTTATTTATGTTTGTCTTCTGTTTGGTATAGGCCGAGAATAGAACAATTGGGATTCTCCAGAGACTCAATGTTATTTTTTATTAGATAATTTGATAAAATATTAAAATGGTTGAAAAATATTTAAAATATAGTCTACTTAAAAAAAAAAATGTAAGATCTTGTCTTCTACAATAACTTTATATTATTAAAGTGTTTAAGGAAAATTTATAATCTAGAGAGTATAATTTTCAGTTATTTTCAAATATCTTGAATTGTGTTGAATGCTACAGGTTTTATTCTCAAGTAAAATATTGAATTGGTCCATTAAAAAAAATGCAGTGTTCTTCTCAAACTGATTAGAAGCTTGAGCAGTGGATTACACTGCTTTTAAAGGTGTGATAAATGTTCTGTCTTAATTGATCATATGTAATAGAGAACATTGTACCTAAATAATAGATTCATTACATTATTTATATTTGCATTAATAGGTTTAGTCCTACTGTATATAGTTATCAATTCAGATGCATTATTTTTTACTGTTTTTTTTTTTTTCATTGTCTTTTTTTTTTTTATGACAAATATTATTTTTCCTTATGTTTATTGAGAATATTTCATCACATTAAGAAAATAAAATTAGCTTGTTTTTATTTGTCACTATTAATCAATACTAATGGTAAATCCATTCTTGTTATCTAGTTTACAAATCTTCAAAAGTGGCCATGGACCTTTATTATTATATAAAAAAAAGCAATATTGGCAAGATAGAGAAAGCATTGACTGTATTTCAAAATTGCTGATATTTTTCTTATGGAAGAAACTCATTTGAAGTTATTTCTGTTATTTTAATTGTGTGTGTGAAAGATGACATGCAGATTGGAATCCAACACGATGATAAAATAAAGGAAAGGTATATCAATCTAACATGTTTCATTTTTATTAAAGCTTCATCAGAGATTGAGAGAAAACAAAAAGACAGAAACACTGATATTTTCAATTATGTTTGGGTCAGTTCTCATTGGTCAGTCACATGTATTAAAACCATATATAATTCTATGTGTATGTAGGTTTGTGAAGATTCTTGTATGTCTAAGTGGACATCAGATGATATTGTGTATCTGTATCTGTCTAGTGTGAGTTCTGTCTTCACCTTTGTGCAGTCAACCCATGCAGCAGTGTGTCACAAGATTCTAATTTATGGCTGACTTCTTTAAGATAGATCTATTAGATAGGTACAAGTTAGATTGTTTAAGAATAAATTCAAAGAAAGATGACAATGTAATGTTTTTAGCATGTGTTTATAGTTGGTAATAATGTTATTATTAATGTTTATATATATGCTTTTAAGCAGACAAAATCACATTTTTTTTTCCTTAAAAGGTAACTTTTTTTTTTTCTCGGCCAACACCTCATCAGAAGAATTGTTGACGATTAGTATAATGTTAACAAGAATCCCAGGATAATAGACAACTGGGAGGAAACAAGGAATTATGATTAAAATACAATTTAATATTAAAATGGGGAAGGGAAAAATGGTGAAATAGCAAAATCCGTAATAAACAGTTTTAGTGAGTTTAAAAAGAAAAATATAGACTCACATGTCACCCAGTAAAGAAAGACAATGAATAAATAATTTATGGAACTGAATATAAGATTTTGATAGTATTGTATTAATAATAATATAATATATTTAGGTTCTGTCAACTTTGGCATTGAGTCCTTGGTCGATTTATTTTAAAATTTTAGATTATTTTAAGCTTCAGCTTTTGTTTCTATTATTTGTGTACACACACACACATAATGATAAAATAAGAGAATGAATAGGGAACATATCAATCTAACATGTTTCACTTTTATTAAGGCTTCATCAGAAGAATAAAAGTGAAATATGTTAGATTGATATATGTTCCCTATTTGTTCTCTTATTTTATCATCCTGTCGAATTCCAGTCCATATTTGATTTACATATCTCTCTTTCTCTATCTTTTATATATATATATATATATATATATATATATATATATATATATATAGTGTGCGTAACATATTTTTAGATATTTTTAAAATTGTTTTTTTTATTTATTTATTTCTTTTGTAGATGCCAAGGCTAGAGAAGCAGCTGCTAGTGCATACTACAATCCTGCAAACCCTCACTTGTTGTACATGCCCAGCCCCAATGAGCCTCCACCGCCCTACACAGAGGCTACAAAAAAGAGCAACTGAACCTGCATGAAACCTGTGTCAGAATAGTCAACAAGTGGATGATGGACCTCCTAGAATCGTGTATAAAATGTGTATATTCTTTGTATTATTATTATTAATAATAATAATGATGATGATGATAATAATTATGCCATCACAATTTAATGACATTGTTATTTTTGGTCAATACTTCATCTCTTTGCTTTCATTTCCACCTGAATACCTTTTTGCTGCTTCTGCACTTCCATCTTATGCTCAGTTTCCACTACATATTGAATTTCAATTGTGGGGTTTTGCTGTTTTAGGTATTAATAATAATTTCTGATGGGTAATTAAAACAATTTCTATTTAATATTATTTTGGTTGTTAACAAATATATGTTTATTACTAAAGTGATACACAATAATTAGTCTATGAAACCAATTTATCTATTTTTAAATTTCTCAATGGTATAATTTTGGATTCTAGTTTTCTTTTTATAAGTTGATATCCATTAACTTTAGGGAAAATAAAGCTGAAGTGATTCTTGAAAACAGAGCCAATTATAATGCATAAATCTAGTGTTTGTTATTTTTAATTTCCTCAAATATTTAAAAAAAAATATCAATCCAAAGTATTTATCTTTGATGTCATATTTTCTTGCAAATGCAAATTTTGGAGTTCCTAAAGTTTCCAATATATTATTGTTCATTTCAGTGTCTATTTGTAAATTTTCTCTCTCAGCTTAGAACATTGTTAAATTTCCATCTTGTTTTCTCTATATGAACTTTCATGTGAACACAAAGAGTTGAAATTATTTTTTTTCTTTTTCTAGGTTCCTATTTTCTTAATTAGTTGCAAAAACATTAAACATTTTTCCATCTTGGAAATCTCTAAAAATGTAAACAATATTTTTTTTTCATTTTCAACCTGGATATTTTTTTTTTTTTTTTTAGAAATGACACCCCCACAAAGTGAATTGTCACTTCCTGTTTTAACTTTGTCATTTTGTATAATATTTCTTGTAAGATTAGTAAATTGAAACTAAGATTTCTTAAAAGAAGAATGAGTTGTCGATTTCAGTCTTTCATTCTCATGATTCTAAAGACACTTTTAGTCATACCCAACATTGGTGTTCAGTATTGTTGATTAGATTTATTGTTTGATAGAAATGAGAAATTTTTTTGTATTATTTTAAATTTTTTTCTAATTACAAATTATAATCATTCCAGGGAAAGCGCACAAAAAATAAATTTTTATAGACAAATGTATGAAGGCATTAAATAAAAATTTGATTCTTTGCAATAATTCTAACTACTTTTCCATTTAACCTTTCAACTTAAGAATTGTGGAGATTTTCTGTTTCTTACCCAACTGCTTAACTGTTTTATTTAGTGTTTAAAATAAACTTTAAACTTTTTAAAATAAATGTTGGAAGATAATTGGAAGATATTCTAAAATATTACCCATGATTACTTATCTGCTTGGATTTAGAATTATATTGTGTATACAGGAAAATTACTTTTATTAACTGGATATCCTTGGAGATTGAACTTGGTTAAGTGAGTTTTGCTTTTTTTTTTCTCCTCTGAATTTAGCCATTTTGGGTGTGACCTATAAAAGGAATCAGTGTTTGGATGCATTGAGAATGTATTTTATTTTTCTTTCTTTTAATACATCCAATGAAAAAATATATTTATTAAAAATAGAATATGCTTCAGGGTTAGAAAATTTTGTTTGATAATTACAATATTCTGGCATATCGGAGAAAATATCAAATGTTTTTCTTTTATCCAATCTGTCTCATCATTATTTGTAATTTTGGGTAGATTGGTGTTTATTAAAAGGCACTGTGGACCTTATAAACTCTAGTTCATTTCCACTAGTTATATACGATGGTAAACTTTTATCAAAGCACAGGACTATATAAAGGTGTACCATATATATATATATATATATATATATTCAGTGGTGACTCTAGGACATCAATTTTTGTCAGGCTCATTGCAATCTTTAACAAAATATACTGTTGGTATAACTTAGATGCTAAAATGATTCCTTTACTCAAACTAAAATACATAATTTTTAAAAATCTCTGTGCATGAAATAAAAAAAATACATTTTGGTATTTAGGATTAGTGGAATGCACTACCCATATATGTTTTTTTTTTTTTTTTCTTTTAAATAATGTGTGTGAGTGTATGTTTGTATATATGTCTGTGCGTTAATGTGTTTGTGTATCTCTCTGTCTGAATTGTTAGTTTACTTTATTGTATGTTTATGATCAGCACTGCTGACTGGTATCATATTTCTTCAACACTACTTCAACCGCACTCCTCACCCCAACCTCCCTGTCAACAAATTAAGGCTGCCACTTTCTTTGATTTTCACTGACTTTAAGTCGGGCTAAATGTAATTTGCCTTTTTTCAATTGATACATTCAGCTAAAAAAAATTATACTGTACAGAATAAATTATTTAAAATGGACATTTGAAAACAATAAGTTGAAATAAAATGTCTTTTTTGAAAAACCTGGCATAAAAGTCAGATTTTTAAGATTATTTATAAAATTAAAGCAAGAAATACATTGTCTATTAAGCTTCAATCAGGGCTCAGACCTACACAGACCAACTATCCATGTTAATTTTATTTCATTCTTTCTTTACTTTCTTTGTTCTTTTTTCTTTCTTCTTTCTTTATTATGAACAATATTGACAAAATGTATTTTAGTCAATATTTTGAAGCACAGTTAAAAAAAAAATTTTGGATCGAGCTGAAGTCAAGAATGAAAATGATGCACTACAAAAGATTTTTGTTGCTTTGAAATAGATATACTTGAATGCTGACTCACTCTGCTCAGCCTGATTCTTGGAGTCAACACTATATATATATATATATATATATATATATATATATATATATATATATATATATATATATATAGGTGACACTAGGTAATTGGCAACAAATTATAAAGGAAAATGAAGATATTCAATAAGGAAATTTTCAAAACCATTTCCGCACAGATTCAAGTGAGAGAACTGAAAAGGTTATTCAATAAAACTGCTCTTAGCTTCTATGTGGCCTTGATACTGATTGAATGTCTGAATCCAGTGGTTCTCATTCATGTTGGCTATCCTATCCATGATGGTGACCTTCAATGAGTCCTTGGTATTGTGGGGGTCATTGTTGGCCTCACTCTTGATAACATTCCAGAATAGGGAACCTGTGGAGACAAATTGTGTGGGTTGACATGACCATGAAAATTCTTAGCCAAACCATTCCTAGAAATGTTGGAAGGAGCAAAGTCCTGCTGGAACATGTATGACCTCCACTGGGCTGTCTCCTTGATTCAGCATTTGACCACTGTGTCCAGCACCTCAATATAAGTTGTAACATTTATCCTGAGGCCTTGCAGGAAGAAATCTGGTAGCATGACATATCCCTCATTTCTTACAACTTCAGGGAACCTCACAGATGATGTAAACTTGATGTATATTACTATGGCTGCTCATATGTAGTCCATGCAGAGCCAAATGTCATTCATCCTGATCACCTTCTAGCCTTAGTTAATATTCCTCTTACTGGAGAGCAACCAGGCTATGCTGGGCTCCTCAGTGTGTTTGAACCTGTTCAGTAAGCACTTTGCATTTAAGTTCTTGTTGAAGACAAACTATGCTGTCATTGTCACCTCAGAATTGTACCTTATGTCTATATGCATCATATATCTGATAGTAGATACTACCAACTTGAACTGCTTAGTGATGGCCATCATTGCTGGTTTCATGGTTAATGAAGTCCCAATCTTGCAAGATGAATTTTGCCATTCTTATGACATCTGACCACTGACAATATTTCTGTCCCTTGACCATATATGATCTGTCATTGCCAGCTCATTCCTGACACAAAAGACCTGACCACTTTCAAAAAGCTGGTAATCTCTCAGTTGCTCTGGTTGGCAGCTTGTTCCATGAGAAGTTATACTGTTTTATTTTCTATGACATATTGGAAGTTGCTATGTTAATGTTCTCAATATGTGAAAGAAATAAGACACCTGACATATTAAATTGTCTTGCAGTTGTGGTCCACTAAAGGTATTCTATCAAATATCTGGTGAGCTTATATATATATATATATACACACACACACACACACACACACAAAGATCAACACCAAACAGTGACAGTCTGTTTTTTGTTTAAACACAATCTTCAGACCATCATTGTATATAAGCATGAAACAGACTGTTGCTGCTGGATGTTGCCCTCAGTGTCCACTTCTATATATACATACACTCTGACCCTGATATTGAGCACTTTAACCCATAAATGTAGCATACCGTAAAGCTATATTTTTATCACATATAGGATTAATAGAAATATAAAATTTGTCACTTAACTGATTGATGTTATATTCAGCACCTCTACTGCAGAGTTTTGTTGAACCTTTGTGTAATTGTTGATAGAGAGGGAGGAACTCCTTTTTATCAATTATTTGATTCTGTGGTTTTCTGTTTTGAATTATATATTTGACAAGAAAAAGACAATTTCTTTCTGAATTTCTGGGATGAAACTTTACTATTTACCTACAGTCTATTGTCTTCATTTTGTTGTTAGGTTACTCAGATCGGCAAGAAGAAAGTTGAAGGGCACAACACCTGAAACAAAAATGAAGATAATTGTCTGTGTAAATAAATAAAGAACAAGAGAAATAGTATTTTAGCATTTGTAGGTGCTCAATTTAGTGCATTTCATTTACTGTCTGAGCAGCACTCTGAAGAAAGTTTTATTTTGTGCTATGATTTTTAAGAGATATCAGCAAATATAGTTCTCGCCATCTTGATGAAATTGAGCTTTCTGACAAATTTTATAGTAATGATCAGCTTTATTCTCCAATCTAAATTTTTTTTTTTCTCTGGGTGATTGGGGATGGGGAAATTGTCATGGCATAATGAAAGGTGAGTCTCTCAACTAGTAAGTACAATGCTCAAATAATATCCTCAAAACATATAATTAAGTTGATTATAGAATAAGTTTTATTGA